CGTTTCGGGCCCTTCCGGGGGCCCTCCGGAGCCGCTTCGGGGTTCTCTGAAGGCTCCGGGGGCCGGGGGCCCCCGCAAACCCACCAGGCATCTTTCGGATTTATTTGAATGGGTATATATATATATATATACACAAGACTGCAGTGGCGCTTCGCGCCATGCACCTTGGTCCTTGAAGTTTGGCATGCAGGCGGAATAGCAGGAAGGTCAAGCCGACAATTTAGCGATAGCTCCTGGTTGCCTTTTCTGGCATTGCCGCTATAATAATATTATTCGTTATCCTTCCTCCATGCTTTTTTCCTTTGTTTCGCCATACCCTGCGCATTCTCCCCATCCTCCTCAGCTTTTTTTTTGCGGAGACTCCTCCTTGGAGAGCCTCTAGGTGCCTCACAATTGTTTCATGCTTTCTTAAGGCCTTCTGGAGACCTCCTGCGCGTATTCTGGGGGCCTCAGGGGGCTTCCTCGGGCCACCCTGCCTCCTACCGCGGTCTCCCTGAACGACCGAATCACGATTTGGAATTCTTCGGAGGGTGTGTTTGGGCCATCTTGGGCCGCCATGGGGCTCTCTGAGGGCCATCTTGGACCCGTGTTGTGCCGTTTTGGGGCTCTCTTGGACTGCCTGGAAGCCCTTTCGGATGGTTGTGGGGCGATTTTGGAGCCTCCCAGGGGGATTCGGACGCCCAGAAGACCGCCGTCTTGGAGCGTCGGGAAGCCGAAAAGAGGAGAACCCTAACATTCACCAACAAATCCACAGAAAATCAATGATTTTTGCCTCGGGGGACCCTCTTGGGAGTGCTCTTGGAGGCCTCTTTGAGGCCGTCCTGGAGGCCTCTTGGGCCATCTTGAGGTCACGTCGGTCACTCTTGGAGCGCTCTTGTGCTGTCTTGGGGGTCTCTGGGACGTCTCCGATGACCCCCCTGATCGCCCTAGGTGTGCTGGGAAGGCTTGGCAAAACGCCATGTGAGGCCCAGTGGCCGCTTCGAGGCCCGTCTGGAGGGTCCCAAAGCCCCAGATCCCGGGAGTCCGGTTTTGGGGGGGGATGGGTTTTCCCCCCCGCCCGGGCTTATACAAAAATATAGGAAGAGGAATATGTACACATCCACTCACACACATACATGCATACATACCTGCATACCTACAAACCTACATAAACACATAACTACAACACTACATACTTACATAACTACCTACCTGCTTGTCTGCTTACCTATCTAGCTACCTGTGTATCAACATCCATACACACATAATACAGTCACGCATGCATATGTACATGCGTGCATATAACTAAGCAAACATACATACACGCATACACACATACGTTCATGCACACCTACATACACATGTAGATACATGCATGCATGCATACATACATGCATGCATACATGCATGTATGCATCTATACATACGTACAAACACACATACACACATGCATGTATGCATACATACATACACGGACATGTGTATATATATATATGCATGCATATGTCAGTACGTACACACATGCACACATACACAGATGCTTGCACACAAACACATATAGCAATCATGCACACGAATACACACATCTATACATACACACCATACTACATGCATGCTTCCATGTACACATAAAACATACATACATACACATAACCATACACACATACACCATTCCACACATACAACCGTAGTTCTATATGCACCTGCACAGGCATACATACAATCATACGCACATGCAGCCTTGACTACATACAAGCACACCTACATGCTTACGTACGGACGTATATATATGTGTATATACCTACATACATACATACATACATACATACATACATACAAACATGCATGCATACAAACATACATACATACATACATACAGACAGACAGACCGACATATATACATACATACATACATACATACATACATACATACATACATACATACATACATACATACATACATACATACATACATCATACATACATACATACATTGATATATACATGCATACTTACGAACATTCACATACACACATGCACACATGTACTCATACACACATACACACATACACACATACACATGCACACATTCATCTACATTCATATATATATATATATATATATATAGATACATATAACGGCGCACCGGGTCCGGGGGCCCGGGGCCGGGACCCCGACCACAAATGTGGGCGGGCTCCGGGGGGCCCAGAGGCTCGTCGGACCGCCGGACGCCGTCCACGATCGTTCGCAGGCGGCTTCGAAACGCGCTCCGATGGCTCCAGATGCCTTCCAAGACGCCTGTCATGACACCAAGAAGGTCCCAGAAGCCTCCAAGACGCTCCGAGAGGCAGCCCAAGAGAGGCCCAAGAAGCAAACATCGTGCCATTCCTATGGGAAAACGTATATTTTTCGCATGTTCGCATCTTGGGTTTTCACCGCGTCCAAGACGGCCCAAGAGGCGCCCAAGACGGTCTACGAGGCCTCCGGGAGCGCTCCAAGGCTGCGCACGAGTGTCCCAGGACGGCCCCAAGACGGCCGAAGAGAGCCCCAAGACGAGTTCGAGAGGGGTCCCAGACGGAGAAAGCCAACCTCGAATTCCGAGCTTCCGGCCCAAGAGGCTCCAGGAGGCGCCAAAATGCCGCCAAGAGGCGCCAAAAGGCTCCCAAAAGCACCCCAAGACGTTCCGAGAGGCACCCCAAGAGAGGTCCAAGAAACAAAAATCGTGCCATTCCTATGGGAAAACGTATATTTTTCGCATGTTCGCATCTTGGGCTTTCACCGCGTCCAAGACGGCCCAAGAGGCCTCCAAGACGGCCTAGGAGGCCTCCGGGAGCGCTCCAAGGCTGCGCACGAGTGGCTCAGGACGGCCCCAAGACGGCCCAAGAGAACCCCAAGACGACTTCGAGAGGGGTCCCAGAAGGAGAAAGCCACTCTCGAATTCCGAGCTTCCGGCCCAACATATCCCAGGAGGCGCCAAAACGCCACCCAGAGGCGCCAAAAGGCTTCCAAAATCAGCCCAAGACGTTCCGAGAGGCACCCCAAGAGAGGTCCAAGAAACAAAAATCGTGCCATTCCTATGGGAAAACGTATATTTTCGCATGTTCGCATCTTGGGCTTTCACCGCGTCCAAGACGGCCCAAGAGGCCTCCAAGACCGCCCCAAGACGGCCCAAGAAGCTTCCAAGAGGGCCCCAGGACAGCCCAAGAGGGCCCCAAGACGGCCCAAGAGGCGCCCAAGATGGCCCAAGAGGGCCCCAAGACGGGCCCAAGAGGGGGCCCAGAGGGGGACCACGAACCGCAAGCTCGAGCCTTCCGCCCCAAGAGGCCGCCAGGAGGCCCCAAGGAGGCCCCTCAAGAGGCCCCAGGAGACCCCCAAGAGGCCCAAAGGAGGCCCCGAGAAGCCCCAAATCGGCCCCCAAAATGCTTCGAACCTGCTTCCAGGAGGCCCCCGACAGGTTCAGAGGCTCCCGAGAAGCTACGTCAAACTCCCAGCGAGCGGCCGGACGAGGCCCCCCACAAAATCACAAGAGGGTTCCAGTATTTGTATCCTTCAGCGCTCTCTGGCCTTCTTCCCCCTGCCCCCTTCCCTGCGACTTTCGTTGACTCAAGCTCGCCTCCTAGCTAGAACCTAAGCGCGTGCGAAGCGCGCGCGTGGTTCTAGTATATATAGGTGTATATAATCACCCCAACTGTCGCTACATGTCCTGCTTCTCATGTGCCCATCCCCCTTTTTGTATGTCCGAGCTCAGATCAATGCATACACCTACATCTGTAGGACGTGTTTCGGTCCGCGTCACGTTTTGGTGTTTCGATCTTGTATGTTTCTGGCCGTGTGCTGTGTGTGGGCGCGCGTGAGCGCATGTGAGTTTTACATTTGGGTAGCCTCCGGAGCGATTGGGGCTCGAGAGTCATATCACAGCGTACAGCAGTTGGCTGCTTGTAATGGTGGATGGGCAGGAGGCGGAGCTGACGGCGGAAACGGATACGCTGCTTGGTTTCGATACGCTACATTCCTGGGCCTTGGGCCAGAGCGTGGCTGTGAGCTTGGTGAGTTATCTAGTTGCCTTTGGCCCACCCCGCCGTGCCTGGGTTGTGGGTCAGAGTCCTGAGGGATGCTTCTCGGGTTCTCTTCGGAGCGCTCTTGGGTGCCTCTTGGGAACAGTTTTGGGGCCTCCTGTGAGCCTCTAGGGGCCCCCTTGGGGCCCACTTGGGGCCTCTTGGGGCGCCTCTTGGGGAGCCTCTTGGGGCCTCTTGTGCGGGCCTCTTGTGGGCCTCTTGGGGGCCTCCTGGGGCCTCCTGGGCGCCTCTTGGGGCGGAGGGCTCGGATTTTCGGTTCGTGTTCCCTCTCTTGGGCCCCCCTTGGGGCCGGGGGCGGCCTGGGGCGGTCTTGGGGGCCGCTCGGGATGTTTCGGAGCGTCGGAAGCTGGAAACGTGGAGAACCCAAAACACATGGAGACACCATAATGACGTTGACCTCTCGGGGCCCTCCTGGGAAGGCTCTTGGAGGCCTCCTGGGTCGTCCTCCACGCTTTTTCAGCCGACTGGAGACCATCTTGGGCGTCTTCGACCAGTTTTTGTTGATCGATTCGGGGCCCTCTTGGATCGACTCGGGGGCCTCTGAGGGTCTTCTTGGCCCCTATAGACGATAGAGAGGCCCTCCTGAGGCCGAAACAGTCACGCGACAAGCCGCGCCGCGCCCCAGTGGGGCCACGCGGGAAGCCCCGGGAGATTTGAAGGCCGGGTCTGGGTCCCTAAAAGAATCCTCAGGATTGAGAAGAGAGGAGGAGGAGGAGGAGGAGGAGGAGGAGGAGGAGGAGGAGGAGGAGGAGGAGGAGGAGGAGGAGGAGGAGGAGGAGGAGGGGGACTGGGTGACTCTCCACTTCGTGCCACGGGGGCACCGCTGCGGGTAGGGTGAGAGCAGGAACGCGGAGGGTGGTGGTGGCGCCCGGCCTCCATGAGGAACCCGACTCGGCAGGCTGTGTATTCTACGGAAGTGTCGTGCAGGTAGGCACTCGTTTGCTCATGTACTATGTTGGGCTTGCCAAGAACGAGACGACTTGGCACGGGCGCGTGTGCCTAGCAGAAAGCACGAATGGCGTTGACTGGGTGAAGCCAGAGGCGGGCGTTGTCAGTTTCCGGGGTTCCACTGCCAATAACATTGTCATGCAGGACACGCTGCCCGTGTTTGCTGTGGCTGTTTTGCACGAGCCATCAGACAAACAAACAGAAAGAAGATTCAAGGCCCTCCTCAAGGTCAAGGATGCCGCCGGGCAGATGACGGTGCTGGCAACCTACAGCAGCGACGGGGTGCATTGGAGCCCTGGGCGCGACGTGGGGCTGCAGGTCGATTTCTGCGGCCTCATGCGCAGGCACGGCTTCTACTACCTGACCGGTCACACTGGCGCCAAGAATGGTGCTCGCAAGCTGCAGGTGTTCATGACCGCCGACTTTGACAGCTGGCCGGCGGCGTCCGCGGTCGGCTTCTGCCGCACGCCCCCGGGCTCCTACGACCCGGAGCGCGGCAGCGCTGGCGAGCAGGTCCACCAGGGCGCCGCGCTTTGGGACCGCGGCTCTGTCGTGGTGGGCGTGTACGGCCAGTGGCACGGCAGCGAGACCAACGACCGCCGCCTGGTCTCGATCGACCTCGGCCTCATCCCGAGGAGCGAAAAGGCGGCGCCGACGCACTGCCGGAGGTCCCTCCTGGGTCGGCGCCAGGCTCCCCCTGGCGGCTCTTCTGGCGCCGCCCAGGGCACGCTCCGCGAGCCGCCGGGGCGACCCAGCGCTGGCCCAAGAGGTCCGCGCGGACCTCCGGAGTGGTGTGTGCGTTGTGCAGCTTTTCTCTTCCTCTGTGATTCTCAGCACGGACGGCCTGCACTTTCACGAGCCAGTCCCACATTTTCGCTTGGTCTCAGCTGCCGAGGACGATGCCGAGGTGCCGCCAGCTCCGTTCCGCATGCGCGTGCCAGCCCTCATGCAGGGCCAGGGATTTGCCAACGTCGGGGCCCAGACGTTGTTCTGGTACGCCCCCTGGCCCGAGATAAACAGCGATGGGGTGCGGCTTGCCACTTGGGATCGCGATCGCCTCGGCTACCAGTCTGCTATAGCTAACCTGCCGGATCCCCATCTCGTGTCCACAGCCCTCGATTCGCAGCCCGAAATATTGACGGTGTGGGCCAACTTCACGTGCACGCCCTATAGCCACCTCCGTGTCGAGCTGCTCTCCGAGTGCTTCAAGCCACTGCCCGGCTTCTCTGGGGCCGACGCATGCTGCATCCACAACGGAGGTCTCGAAGTCGCAGTAGTGTGGTCTACCCCTCTGTCTTCGCTCTCGGCAGCCTTGACCGGCCAAGGGCGGGTGCGCGTGAAGATATCATTTTGCGGCATCCGCCGCGAGGATGCGCGCTTCTACGCGCTCTACGTGAAGCGATGCCGTGTGCCAGCTGGTTGACGCTATTGGTTTGTGCTCGGCCCCTCCTCCTTCCCCCTCTTCCCGTTGTCTCTCCTACTCCCACCTGCAGAGACTTTCCTCTCCTCGTTCTCTCGCTCTCTCTCTCTCTCTCCTCTCTCTCTATATCCCTCCTCTCTCTCTCTCTCTCTCTCCTCGCTCACTATTTTGTTGTTGTTGTTGTTGTTGTTGTTGTTGTTGTTGTTGTTGTTGTTGTTGTTGTTGTTGTTGTTGTTGTTGTTGTCGGTGGCGGTGGCGGTGGCGGTGTTGTTGTTGCTGTTGTTGTTGTTGGTGTTGTTATTGTTGTTGTTGATGTTGTTGATGTGGCTGTTGTTGTTGCTGATGTTGTTGTTGTTGTTGTTGGTGGTGGTGGTGGTGGTGCTGATGTTGTTGTTGTTGTTGGTGTTGTTGTTGGTGGTGTTGTTGTTGTTGTTGTTGGTGTTGGTGTTGTTGTTGTTGTTGTTGTTGTTGTTGTTGTTGTTGTTGTTGTTGTTGTTGTTGTTGTTGTTGTTGTTGTTGTTGTTGTTGTTGTTGTTGTTGTTGTCTCTCTCTCTCTTTGTATCTCTCTTTATTTCCGCCAATTCCCACGCCCTCATCTCCTCGACCTCCCCTGCCGCGCCCTCCTTCCCTGCATCTCCCCACCCTTCTTGAGTCTAGTGGTCTGCGCCGTTCCGCCGACCCCCAGGGGAGAAGCGACGTCCTCGGGTGAGGCCGTCTGCCTCTTGGGAACTCTTCGAGGAGCCTGTAGAGGCATCTTTTTGGGCCTGTTGGGAGCCTCCTCCTTGATTTGCGCAATTGCCCAACGGCTACTCCGTCCGAGTGCTGCTCTCCCCTCTCTCTTCCTGGCGACGTGCGACCGTGCTCCCGCCCCTCTCGCGCATGCTTCCTCCACTCTGGACTTGAGCACATTCACAGAGCTGTGCTCGCATGTAGGGGTTCGTACTTCTCTTCACCAGCCACCACTCGACCCCAACCCAACCCGAAGGCCTCGATTTGCCCTCGGGTCGGAGAACATTGGCAAAAACACATGGAACCCGTATATACCCCCCCCCCAACCCGAATTTCGTGTCAAAGTCGTGTCTTCGGGTTGGGTTGTGGTGGTTTGGTACGTAGCCGTATCTCATAATAAAGAAGTTGCGCCGGTCCAGCTTGTAGTCGCCCGTCGTCTCCCGTCGCCGCCGCCCGTCGCCGCACCAACAGGGCCTGTCCGCCAGTCTGGCCGGCTTGTAGTCGCCCGTCGCCGCCGTCCGTTGCCGCACCAGTTTGGTCACGATTTTGATAGCACCACGTAGGTTGCACCGCAAAAAGGTTCACCACATGTAGTGCTTAGCGTACACTGCACCGCATATCTTTCACCGCATATTCCTTTTCCTATGTTTTTATGAGCCCGGGCGAGGGGAAAACCCGTCCCCCTCCCCCACCCCCACCCAAAACCGGACTCGCGGGATTTGGGGCTTTGGGACCCTCCGGACGGGCCTCGAAGCGGCCCCCCTGGCCTTGCAGGGCGTTTTGCCAAGCCTTCCCAGCAAACCTAGGGCGATCAGGGGGGTCATCGGAGACGTCTCAGAGACCCCCATGACAGCGCAAGAGCGCTCCAAGAGTGACCGACGTGACCTCAAGATGGCCCAAGAGGCCTCCAGGACGGCCCCAAAGAGGCCTCCAAGAGCACTCCCAAGAGGCAAAATTCATTGATTTTCTGATGGTTTTTGGTGAATTTTGGGGTTCTCCTCTTTTCGGCTTCCCGACGCTCCAAGACGGCGGTCTTCTGGGCGTCCGAAGCCGCCTGGGAGGCTCCAAAATCGCCCCACAACCATCCGAAAAGGCTTCCAGGCAGTCCAAGAGAGCCCCCAAACGGCACAACACGGGTCCAAGATGGCCCTCAGAGAGCCCCATGGCGGCCCAAGATGGCCCCAAGACACCCTCCGAAGCATTCCACATTGTGATCCGGACGTTCAGGGAGACCGTGGTTGGAGGCAGGGTGGCCCGAGGAAGCCCCCAGAGGCCCCCAGAATACGCCCAGGAGGCCTCCAGAAGGTCTTAAGAAAGCCAGAACCATTTTTTTTAGGCCCCCCGAGGCTCTCCCGGGAGGAGCCTCCGCAAAAAAAAGTTGAGGAGGATGGGGAGAATGCGCAGGGTATGGCGAACATGAGGAAAAGAAGCATGGAGGCGCGAAGCGCCACTGCAGTCTTGCAATTATATATATATATACACACGATGTATGTGTGTATAGATGTATGTTCTCCTTCCGATCAAAAGCAATTACGCCATCGTCCGTCAAATATGAATTCACTGTTCACGCTTCGCGTATCTCCACCAGCCCATCCCAACACAGCACATTTTGCGGCGCACACCCACGGTCGTGTCTTTCGGGCGTGTCTCCTCCTGCTCTCGCATATCTCCTCCTCTTCCGCCTACCTCCTCCCTACGTTCTGTTATACATTCTCGCGGGGGCAGTGGGAGGAGGACAAGGCGGAGCAGGATGGTTTTCAAACAAAGCTTGCGCCCGCGCTCTTGCGAATTTTAGAAAATACAGCGGCTTCCAACATTCTCAGAATATGCTACCAAACGGACCTCTCGCGCGCGCATGTCGAAATCGCTCAAACTCCCTTGCGCGCGTGCTGGGGACGGGCACGATGCATGTCAAATACTACCACGCTGGCCACTCGCACACGTCGGCCGCGCGCGCAAGTCGAAATCTTTCAAAACTTCATCGCCGACGCGACGACATCGTCATCATTATCGGTGGGCGTGATCAACATCGGCGCCGTCATTGGCCTTGCCGTCGTCATCGCCACCATCGTCACCATCATCGCTACTTTCATAATCGTGTGTACCGTCGTCGGCGTCGCCATGATACCGCACCCGTCTAAGTCACCGACTCGCACTGACGTGCCCGCTGGGAAGTGCCCAGCGGTCAGTGTCACCGCGGCCGCGTCGGTCGCGCCGAACTAACTGGCCGCTGTGCGCGCGAGCAAGCGCGGGCTAGCGCGGCTGCAGGGGTGCAGCAGCCAACGCCAAGCATTCATCGCAATCGCCGCCGTATGGGTTTTGCGAACCAAGTTGCGGGTGGGTGGGTGGGATGTCTGCAAGGGCATGGAATTCGTCAACTAAGTTGGTTTACGTTGCATAGATTGCACCATTATGGTCCGCACCGCGTAGTTTGCACTGCGTAGATATTGCGCGAGTTAGGTTGCACCGCGTAGCTTGCTTCACGCGAGCTTCGCTACATGACTTGGATTGCGCTGCGTGTATCGCATAGCTTGCGCCACACGGCTTGCGCCAGGTAGATGGTACCACGTAGCTTCCACCACGTAGCTTGCACCACGTAGATTGCATCGCCCAGTATGCTAAAACGCACTCTTTGTGGCGCGCATTGGTTAAGACTGAATTCCCCGTGTGTTCATTCGATCGGGGCGTCTTCGGCCCTTCACGAATGGTGCTCCCGCCGCTGCATTGGCCACATTTCCAGATCGGTGGCTGCCCCCGTCTCTCAGGATGGCCCTACCGTCCTGGCGCGGGCTTCTCTGGTGGAACCGGTCATTTCGTCGTTGCTGTCCTCTTCCGTTCACCTCCCCATGCTTCCCTGATCTTCCTGCTCGTCCGCCACATCAATCCGCCTCTTCCTCCTCTCCCTCTTTCTCCTCCAGTGTATTGCTCTCTTGTTCAAGGTTATGCTGTCTGGCTCTCGTCTCAGCGCGGGCCACATGTCTGCTCGGCGTGGCCGTCCCCCTTTTTGTCCCCTCCTCCGCCTTCCCCGGTCCCCCTGGCCCTGCTCATCCTAGTCCTTCTATGTCATTTCTTCCTCCGCCTCCTCGTCCTCCTCCTCCCCCTCCTCCTCCTTCTTCGTCAGGATCGTTTCGATTGCCCCGACGCTCTCGGTTAGGAGGTCCAGTGGTGCATTCTGGTTGTTCGGCCGCCCAGGTTGGCGACCGTTTAGATTGTCACGGCGCCTTCTTTTAGGCGCAAGTTCGTGACCAAGTGGCCTGCGGGCACTCGTGTTGCATTCTTCCTTGGGACCTCCGAGGAAAATATTCGTCTCCCCGCCCACTTCACAATGGACCCCTGGACCTATCCACGAATGCGTTCTGGCAAGCATGTCGGGGCGGAATCCAACTGTGGCGACGGGGGCGCGCCTGCAAGCCCAATCAAGTTACAACAACATATCCGAGACCTAGCTCTTCGATCCTCGCCGTCCCTCGCTCCTGCTGCTCTCCTGCAGCCAGCCAAAATCAGCCCATTACCGATCCCAGGACGCCTTCAGGGTTCCATAGTTTGCCAGGTGTTTCAGCTCGGATCGTCATTCTGACGTTGGCCTCTGGAGGCCGAGAATGCTGAAAAGCCGTGACTCTCGTCATCCCTGCTTCAGATCTCGGTGTCGCAGTCGTTTCAAGCGAGGCGATTCCGCCACGATTCAGGCCCCAGGGCCCCCGCATACTGATCCAGCTCGAGAAGCTCTGCTTGTGATGTGCCCCAGGATTGCCCCGAATGATCACCTCGATGCTCGAGAGAGAGAGAGAGAGAACAAAAAAAACAGACGAAAGCCAGCTCGACGACTACAAGGCAACCGCGCCTTCACAGCCTTACTCCCCCCCCTGGATGCCGGCAACCTGTTTTTTGCTTTTTGGTTGCGGCGACGGGTCTCAGAGGGTTCCCCTCCCTCCTCTTCGAGGAGCCCTCTTCGGCCCGATGGGCCCGATTCGATGTCGATCCTGCCTGGCTCGATCCGGCCCAATTCCCATACTCAGCGATCCGATGCGGCCCGATGTTTCCGTGGCGCTGCTGTGCATCCTGGCGCGGCCGCTGGCGATTCGGTTCCGACTCCTCGCCGATGCAGCCAGACCCGACGCACGTATCCGATGTCCCGATCCGATGCTGGCTGATCTTGCTGAGGGCGCGGGGGGGGGAAGGGGAAGGCGAAAGAGTTTCCACTCGTCCTTTTGCAGGTTTTCTGGCGTCGGGACGGGCCACGGGCCCTCGCCAGCAACCGCAGACCCGACTGGCCTCGTGTGAGCCTCGTGAGAACTCAGCACCCCAGGTCGACAGGGTGCAAGAGGGGAGTCCGAGTCTTGCCCTCCTCTCGTCCAGGAAACAACCACGTGAGCAGAAGCTTTTAGATGCCCGCGCAGGGTTCCGAAAGAACTCTGGAAAATGGCATCGAATTTCCGGGGGGGGCCAGGGCCGATCCAAGAAATCCGCGCGGACCTTTGAAATTGTAGGTTTGTGTAGTTTGCTATTCTATTCTGCGCTTCTTGGGGCACCCCCCATTTCGACAAAGTGGTAGGCGACGGTGAAGGAATGAGAAGCGGGGCAGCAGAGGAGGGGTTGGAGGCGCTCCCCGCCTTTGTCATCGCCGTTTTCGGCTACTCGCCGCTCTCCGTCGTTCTCTCTCTCTCTCTCTCTCTCACTCTCTCTCTATATATATATAACTAGATTGTATCTTGTATCTTCTCCCTGGCTTCAGCGGGGCAAGAGGTCATGATAATGATACGGTCCCAGATTTCCAGACCGTCCTGGACTTCCTGACGTTCCACTCGGCCTGCCGACACGAGGGCCCCCAGGTGCTTCAGAACTCCCGGAACGCATCCCGAGCCACTTGCACCATGACGTGCTTCTTGCCCCATCGTCCTCCTCCTTCTCCTCCTCCTCTTCCTCCTCCTCCTCCTGCCCGTCCCCCTCCTCTCCCTCCTCCTCCTCCTCCTCCTCCTCCTCCTCCTTCCTCTTCCTCCTCCTCCTCCCCCTCGTCCTCCTCCGCGATTCGATGCTGGCCGATCCTGCCCCCCCCACCCCCCCCCCGCGCCCGCCGAGGCGCTCCCCGCGCCGCCGGCCGCTCCGAGGGCGGAGCCGGCGCATGAGGCGAGGCGGGCGCCACGGAGACGGACACCGACGCACCGCCACGTTCACGACGACGACGACGGCGACGACTCTGCGACGACGACGCCGACGACGACGGCGTCGACGACGACGCCGACGCCGACGACGACGCCGGCGACGACGACGCCGACGACGACAACGCCGACGGCAAGGACGGCGACGACGACGGCGACGACGACAGACGGCGGTCACCCGTCGGCGGTCCCCTCATGGCGGCCAACCGACGGACGGCCGCGGGGCGGGCGGGATGGCCTCAACCCATCGAAGGTCGGCTGCGAGCGAGGGGTGGGAGTGAGAAGGAGAAGGCCTTCGCAGAAGGCCTTCGCGGAACGCGAGCGCGGGACGAGCCTCGCGCCGACAGCGGGCCGCAACAGCGCGGACGCGGTCCAGCAGGGGGATGCGACCACCCGTTCGACGCGCGACGGAGAGCCACAGAGCGAAAGCGCGGTTGGCTTCGACGGTTTCGGGCGCCTACTCGTCGTCCCTTTCCCACAGGCTGGCAGCTTCTCAGAAGCCCGCCGGGCTTCTGAGAGGTCTGCGGTGTCTTCGGGGCAGGCTCAGAAAGATCCTCGGAAGGACGGGGGACTTCCGAGCCTTTGAGAAGGCGCGCCCCTCCTCACTTCCCCCCCGTGGCGCGCCGCCGAGGAGAGGAAGACAAGTCGGCGGCAGGAGCACCCGTGCTCGGAGCGCGGGCGGTTCCCGACGGGGGGGGGTCCACAGATGCAGGTCAGGGGCCCCCGCGGGGGGTCCGCTGGTCGCGCTGGTCGCGCTGGACGGGCGGGGGCGCGGAGCAGAGGTCGGGTGGACCCGGAAGGGGGCCCAGCGACCAGGGGGTGGTGCAGCAGGTTTGGTCACTCGACCTGTGGGGCTGCAGCACATCTGGGGCGTGCACTACCTTTCCAGGGCGCAACAGTAGTGCTGGACTTTTTCGCGCGCGCAAGCCGCGGCTTGCAAGACGATGCGATGCGATTCTCCAGCGCAGTGCATCTGCAATACAACTGCCCCGAATCTACTACACCTCCCCCTTTCAGCTGGACCCCCTCTTGGGTCACCCAGAGTAGGGGCAGGGGCCCCGAGATCCCGGGCCCCGATCCCGTGTCGACGGGATCCGGATCTGGTCCGCACGGCCCCTCTTCGTTCCAGGTGGGCCAGATCGGGAATGCCGCGGGCCCCAGAGGAGTCGCTGGTGCTGGAGGGCGGCGCGACGCAAGGGGAGGCGCCCTCAGATGCTGGAGTCAGGCGTTGCGCAAGGGGGGGCGATACACGGGGGCGTAAGGGAGGGTATGCCTTTCGTGCTTCCCTGGGGCCACACAGGGGCCCCTCTGGGGGGAAAAGCGTGAAGAAAGGTGCACCTGTCTTTGCCCCCCCCCCCCCCTGTACCCCCTTCCCCATCAAGCAGCGCCCAACGAAGGTCCGCCCAGATTTCTTGGATCGGCGACTGGGACCCCTGGCGCCGCCCCTGGCGCGCTCCGCACGCCAGGGAAGGAGGGTCCAGCGCCGATCCAAGAGATCTGCGCATATCGGAGGTGGATAGACCTCCTACCCTGACACGTCGACTAAGGAATTCTAGACGCTTCGCGTATCCCCACCAGCCCGTCCAGAAACGACGCCCAGGCGAGTAGAGGGTCGCCCTGAGGTGCTTTTCGGCGTCTTGGGTGCCTCGGGGGGGCCTCTGTGGGCCGTTCGGGATCCTCTTTGGGGCCTCCTGGGTGCCTCTTGGGGCCTCTTGGGGCCATCTTGGGGCCTTTGGGGGCCTCCTGGGCGCTTCTTGGGGCCATCTTTGCCCCTTGGGTGCCTCTGGGGGGTCTCTTGGGGCCTCTTGGGGGTCTCTTGGGGGCCTCCTTGGGGCCTCTTGGGGGGCATCTTGGGGCCTTGAAGGCCCTGCTGGGGCGCTCTTGGGGCAATTTTGGAGGACATCGGCCAAGGAAGTGGGGTTCCTTAATTAGAGCCCCCCCCCCAGGAGCTCCAAAATTCGCTTCCTGGACCCCTCTTGGATCGCTCTTGGAGCGCTCGTGGCCGCTCTTGGCGCCATCCTGAGGCTCTCTTGGGCCCCTCTTGGAGCTATCTTGAGCCATCTTGGAGCCATCTTGACGCGTCGGATGTGCATCGCAAGCGAAAAAGTGAGAACACCAAAAACATTGATTTTCCCTGGGGTGTTGAAGCATTTTCGCCTCTTGGATGTATCCTAATGATGCTCTTGTGTGCACTTGGAACCGTCTTGGGGAGTTCTTGAAACGTCTTGGAACATCATGGGGACCATCTTGAGGCATCTTGCGCTATCTTGAGCCATATTGGAGGGTATCTTGGGCTCCCTGAGGCCCTCTTGGAGCCGTCTTGGGCCATCTTGGGCGCTCCAACGCGCCGCGGAACCCCCTGTCCAGGTCAGTGGGGAGGGGGTAGGGGGAGGGGTAAACCCCTCAGGAGGGGTGGAAGAGGAAACTCGTTAAACCACCGACGCCCAGAGGGCTGGTGGGATTGGCCGTTTTCGGTTCGCGAGAGGGCGCCGCGGCCGTCACTTTTGCGGGTCCAGGTCCTTCGGTTTCGGTCCCAGGCCGATTTCACGAAGGGGAGGTTTGCTAAAGGGAGGCTTGTCCACCGCCGAGCATACCTCTGAAATTCCACCTTCAAGTTTTTGTTCCATTCCGTATGCGCCGGCGCCGAACTTGGCCGGGCCACGCCTTCTTCCCAGCCGGGCCCCGATGCAGCCCGAAGAGGCCACCTATCGAGGGGACCGCCGCGCACCACCTTGCCACCGCAGAGATGCCACCGGGAGCTGCTTCCGACCTTTCGTCAAGCCACGGGCAGGGCTGGACCTGAACGGTGCTTTGGCGATTTCGTGGGCCGTTTTCGTTTCGACTTCGTTTTGCGGTAAAAAGGCGGATGTAAGACAAAGCGGGGAAAAAAACGAAAGCAAAACGACAACGAAAAGCACCGTTTAGGTTCGGCCCTGGCCAGGGGTCGTGCGCAACGACAAGGGTGGACTGACCCAGAGGAGGAGGAGGAGGAGGAGGAGGAGGAGGAGGAGGAGGAGGAGGAGGAGGAGGAGGAGGCATCGACAGCCAACCGCCCGCTCCTGACAGTCATGGCATGGGCTCCCGCCCCGCCCAGGAACGTGGGCGTTCCACATCCAGGGCCTGTCGCCGATGAATCGGGGATGAATCGTCGATTCTGGATCATGGTCTCCCACCCTAAGGATGCAATTCCTGGAAGAATGCATTCAGCACCGGCGCCGTCGAATGCCGCTGAATCTCGTCAATCCCGTTCCATCCGGCCGAATCTTGAGCCTCGTCCGGCCCGCTTTGACTCAGAGGCCTTGGATCGTTCTTGCGAAGACCTCCGAGGAGTTGTTTCCTAACCCCCCTGAGGCCGGTCTCCTCCTACCGTTAAGTCGGGCCTGTCCCTCTACAGGGGGAACATCCAGATAGTATGGGAACGATTTTCTGACAATTTTTGAGTATTTTTGGTAAATTTTTGGGGTACGTTCAATTTTTCGTCCAAAATCCGCCTGTAGGGTTGAGGATTCCCCGCCCTGTCTGTGGTGTATTACATCGTTTGGTGAGGTTTGGTGGCCCCCAGGTTGTGTTTTCTGAGTTGGTTGTTTGATGGTTGGCCGCGCGGTTTCTGTCTTAAGAGTTTGGGGTCCGATGGGTAGGCCAACGCCCTCAAACAAATGTTGATCATTGTTTTTTGGGAGCTAGATACCATCGGGAACATACAGAAGTTAAAACCTCTGTTAGGAATGACACGCGAAGCTGTGTGTGTGTGTGTGTGTGTGTGTGTGTGTGTGCATTTTTCGTGCGTGCGTAGCTGTTCAGGCCGTTCCTTTGGGACTCCCTTGGGGCTCCTCAGTGGTTCCAGGACCCCCGATCGGGCCCCTGCCCCTCAAGGCGCCTCCCCTTGGGTCCCCTCTTGTGGTCTCTCCCTTGGGGTTCCAGCTTGGAGCCTAAGAGTAAGTAGGGAAGTAGGGCATTACGTGACGGCCCACGCCGTGGTGCAACCTATGTGGTGCGGCACGTTGGTGCTGAGTAGGCGAGATGCTGATACGATGCAGCCAGTCTGTGTGCGATCCTCTACAGTGACGACAATTCTCGCGTTGACGCGTGGCTCTGAGGTTTTGGCACCCTTTCCTGGCGAAACCATGTTTTTACCAAACCCCATCGGCCTTTGCAATTTTGCTCGTCATGGCGTCGCCTTCGCCTGAGCAGTGGCTGAGCGATGAGGCGTTCAGCCCTCTCAGCCTGCCGACGCCTGAGCTGAAGACGGCGCCGCCCGCGCGGGCGGGCGAGGACAGCTGCAGCCAGGAGGACCGGCAAGAGGCGCCTGACGGGCCCCTTGGGCTCGCGGAGGGCGGAGGCCAGCTCGTGGCAGTGGGGCCGCAGGCCATTGTGCAGCCGTCGGGGCCAGAGTCCGCCCTCGCGCCCCTCTCGAGGACCGCGTCGCGGATGATCCACGCGGCCCCCCATTGCCAAGCTGGCCAGTGTGATGGTACGGCGCGTGTACCCCGACACCATGCAGCCTGTTGGCCTGGAGAGCGCCACGCGCTTGGCTGCTCGTCTCGGCGTCCTGGCGAACCGCTTTCGTGAGACGGTGTACGCCGTCGGGTACGCCGCCTGGGCGACTGGCCAGAGGCAGGCCGCTGCCATCGTGCCGAGGCTTCTGGCCGTCTGCAGTGCATCGCACTGTCCACGGGATGCGTGCGGCCCTCGGATGGATGCTGTCATGTTTTCCCGCAAGAGGAAATATGATGGCACGCGCATGCGAGTGACTACCCAGGTCGCCCAGCACTACGACACCGACACGATCGTAGAGAGATGCGCTGGCACACGGGAGTTGTGTGTTATCAAAGTTGGTTTCAGCAGTGTGTTTCGCAAGCGCTTTGATGACAGAGACGATTTTCTTCATGCCATTGGAAGCGCACTCACCCACACCAGTGTGCTAGAGACGCCGAGTGCTGACATCATCAACGCCTGCTTGCATCAGCAAGTTGACCAGGTGTATGGCAAATTTGTTGATGAGCGAATTCCTCGGCACACTGATGTCATAGGGTGCGACGCTGCAGGCAGCAACCTGAAACATGAACGGCTCATGTCTGCACAGCACCCTCGTCGTGCACATATTGTGTTTTTGTGTCGTACCCACGGCAAAAAGAAGGTTGCAGAGCATGGCTATTCAGTCATCCGCCCGACGGACACCAACATGATACGGTGTCAGTTGAGCTTGTCCGCTGAACAACTCATCGCAGTGCGGCACAACGCCAGGCTCATCCACGATGAGCAGGTTGTGGTCCACGTGGGGTGTTTCCATGTGTTGCCGTGCTGAGGCGACGGCTCACAGAGAGAGGGTGTTCGATTTGTACTTCAGCGACACCGCTGACGCGAGCCTCCAGCTCAGGGCAATTGTATGCAGGAGGCTCTACAACGGCGACATCAGGAAGACTGGAGGTCCCAGCGGGCCTCTGGAAGAAGGTCCAGCAGAAGCTGGCCGCGTGAATGGCGCCAAGCAGCAGGCTGCGCCGCCATCACCCAGAGGAGGAAGGAGGAAGACGAGAAGGAGGAGGGAGGAGGAGGGAGGAGGGATGAGGAGGAGGAGGGGGGAAGAGGAGGGAGGCGGAGGAGAGAGGAGGACGGAAGAGGGAGGAGGACTCGAGCACGAACCACGCACGAGGCGAGGACGCCGCCGCTGCTGCCGACCAAAACCTTCCTGCCGAGCTGCCCTCTCCCTCTCATCTCCTCCTTGTCTGCTCCTTCCTCCATCTCCCTCCCGCATCCGCCCTCCCTCCTCCTTCTCCTCCTCCCTTTTTCTCCTTTTTCCTCTCTCCCCCTCCTCCCTCCTCCTCCTGCTCTCCGCAATCCTCTCTCCTCCTCCTCCTCCTGGCCATGGTGTTCTTGATCCTGATGCGTATGTCATCCAGCGGTGCGGGTGGGCTCGCCCATAAACGCGTGGTCTTGGACTCGGCCCGCAAGCGGGCCACCCCCCCCTATCGGCCATCAAATAGCATTGGTTGTTTTTGTGACCCTTGCCTCACCCAAAAAGAGTTGATGACTGTTTGGGGGGCCCCCCGAGGGTGTCGATCACCTTCACTTTCACGCCAGGGTGGGGCGCATCCCACCCGATGGCCGTTTCTGCCCATCGAAGCCCATGATTCGTGATACTTGCGGCCTAGACAGGCAAGAGAAGCCTCAACTGTAGGGGGACACGCCCGACCTGATCCTACCGCTCCCCCCATCGAGGGCGGAGCTCTTGAGGGGGCGCGAGGCCGCTCGCAGCGCCCTCGCTCCGCCGGCCCCCGCGGAGGGGTCCCGATGGGGCCAGGGTCGGCCCTGCCGGGGCGAGCGGCGTGGCCGGAGCGCGTGCACCGCAGGGACGACGTTTGGGGGAGGTGGTCTTAGAGTTATCGGGGGAGCGTAAGATCCGGGTTTGCCAGAACTCGGGTTCGCCATCGTTTTTTGACGACCGCGCCTCGGATTTTGACGAGGAGGAGTTTCGTGGGATGTCTGCAGCGGGAGGCCTCGTCAAAATGCAGGTTCGGCCTCGTCATTTTTTTGACGACCTCGTCGGGGATTTCCGAGTCCCCTGTACCCAGGTCTTACGTCCCCCTGGAGTTAAGCCGGGCATGTCCATCTGCAGGGGGAGTGTTGAAAGATAGTCAAACAAATAGCTTGGGGGCAATTGTTTAAAACGACGCGAAGATCGGGACAAAATCGGATCGGGAGAACTCGAAATCTCTGAGAAGCGGCGGGTTTGGAGGATGTATTGGGCGCCGCGGCCGCTCCACAGCGTTCCGAAACGCTCTGAGAGCGCTCCGGAACGCTCTGGAGCGATTTATCCCGATCCTAGCCCTGTTTTATTTTTCAAAAATCATGTTTGATTGTTGTTGGTTAGTTCTGTTTAAACGAAAGAATTGGCAACAACAAATCTCGTCCAACATCCGCCTGTAGGGGGACACGCCCGACCTGAGCTTAGGGGGGGATGTATCACCGATCCATCGGCGATACATCGCCGATTCCGAGTCGATCTTCCCCCCCGAGCTGGTCCCCCCTTGACGTTGCCCCTCAGCACCGGCTTTCCGCATCGTGCCATCACTATTTTGAGCGGGCCGGCGTTTGCCAGACAGTCCCGCCCTGTGTGATTCCCTTTGCGGGTGCGTGTGCTACGTGGGTTCGTTTGCTTGGGGTCCGTGTTATGATCGTGTTTTTTGGTTGTCCCCCATCTTTCCTGGTGGGGGAGGTCGGAGCACTGGCACACACATCGGGCGCGAGATCATTCTGTGGGCGCAGGCAGTTTCAGTAGCCTTGCAACGGTGCGTCATTGAGGATCTGACTCGAGAGTTGGATGTCCTCTTAGTCGGATTAGGTGGACTAGAGCTTGACGAACACCAGAGCGCGCTGTAGTTACTAAGGGGGTGCATGAAGTGGAGACCGTTGTTCCTTGCGCCATCCTCAGCCCTCAGGCGCTTACCCCCTACTTCATAGCGAACATCGTGAGGGAACTGCCTAGCGACAACTATTCTAGACGCTTTGCGTAACCCACCAGCCCATCCAGAAGCGATGCCCAGGCGAATTGCCCTGATCAGGGAAGTAATTGAGCATGCAGCTGAACAATGAGCAGGGGAAGGAGGAGGAGGAGGAGGAGGAGGAGGATGAGGAGGAGGAGGAGAGAAGGAGGAGGAGGAGGAGGAGGAGGAGGAGAATTGGAAGTGGGAGGGGGAGGGGGGGGTGACGTAGGAGGGAGGAGGAAGGCGTGGAAACAGGCGGATGTGGAGGAGGAGGAGGAGGAAGAGGAGGAGGAGGAGGAAGAGGAGGAGTTGGAAGAGGAGGGCGAGCAGAAAGTCCAGCGGCCTCATGTATGCTTCTCGGAGTCTCTTCGGATGTCTCTGGAGGCCTTTTTGGAGCTCTTTTGGTGCGTCTCGGGGGCCTCTCAGCGGTTTCGTGGGCCTCTTGGAGCGTCTTGGGTGCTTCGAGGGTGCCTTTTGGGGCGTCTTGGGGATTTTGGTTGGGGCCATGCATGGGGCCTTGGAGGCATTCTTGGGACCATCTCGGAGGAGTTCGATCAAAGAAAGAGGCGGCCCCAAGTACCCTCGCCCCTCTACTGCAGATGCAATCGCCCCTTGAACCTTCCTGGAGCGCTCGCGGAGCGCTTCTGGGCGCTCTTGGAGCCGTCTTTGGGCCCGTCTTGGGCTCCTCTCGGGGCTCTCGTGGGCCTTCTTGGAGCCGCCGCGGGGCCTCGGAGGGCCGACGGGAGCGACAAGGTGAGAAGGTAGCAGACATGTTTTTTATCTTGGTGTTTTACGGGCGCAGCCCGTAATTTGATTCTCGCGAGGTAGACACTGACAGACTGAACTGAACCACCAGGCCGTTAGATGGCAGTTTTATTTCCGCGAGTGAGGATATTTCGGGTGGCAGTTTTAAGCCAGCTGGTGAGCATATTTCGGTGGCAGTTTTAAGCCAGCGGGTGAGAGGATATTTCGGTGGCAGTTTTAAGCGCCAGCGGGTGAGGATGTTTCGGTGGCAGTTTTAAGCCAGCGGGTGAGGATATCTCGGGTGAGGATATTTCGGTGGCAGTTTTACGCCAGCGGGTGAGGATATTTCGGGTGGCAGGTTTAAGCCAGCGGGTGAGGATATCTCGCGTGGCAGTTTTAAGCCAGCGGGTGAAGATATTTCGGATGAGGATATTTCGGGTGGCAGTTTTAAGCCAGCGGGTGAGGATATCTCGGGTGGCAGGTTTAAGCCAGCGGGTGAGGATATCTCGGGTGGCAGTTTTAAGCCAGCGGGTGAGGATATCTCGGGTGGCAGTTTTAAGCCAGCGGGTGAGAATATTTGGGTGGCAGTTTTAAGCCAGCGGGTGAGGATATTTCGGGTGGCAGTTTTAAGCCAGCTGGTGAGCATATTTCGGTGGCAGTTTTAAGCCAGCGGGTGAGGATATTTCGGTGGCAGTTTTAAGCGCCAGCGGGTGAGGATGTTTCGGTGGCAGTTTTAAGCCAGCGGGTGAGGATATCTCGGGTGAGGATATTTCGGTGGCAGTTTTACGCCAGCGGGTGAGGATATTTCGGGTGGCAGTTTTACGCCAGCGGGTGAGGATATCTCGCGTGGCAGTTTTAAGCCAGCGGGTGAAGATATTTCGGATGAGGATATTTCGGGTGGCAGTTTTAAGCCAGCGGGTGAGGATATCTCGGGTGGCAGGTTTAAGCCAGCGGGTGAGGATATCTCGGGTGGCAGTTTTAAGCCAGCGGGTGCGGATATCTCGGGTGGCAGTTTTAAGCCAGCGGGTGAGGATATTTCGGTGGAAGTTTTAAGCCAGCGGGTGAGGATATCTCGGGTGAGGATATTTTGGTGGCAGTTTTAAGCCAACGGCTGAGGATATTTAGGGTGGCAGTTTTAAGCCAGCGGGTGAGGATATTTCGCGTGGCAGTTTTAAGCCAGCGGGTGAGAGGATATTTCGGGTGGCAGTTTTGAGCGCCAGCGGTTGAGGATGTTTCGGTGGCAGTTTTAAGCCAGCGGGTGAGCATATCTCGGGTGAGGATATTTCGGTGGCAGTTTTACGCCAGCGGGTGAGGATATTTCGCGTGGCAGTTTTACGCCAGCGGGTGAGGATATCTCGCGTGGCAGTTTTAAGCCAGCGGGTGAAGATATTTCGGATGAGGATATTTCGGGTGGCAGTTTTATGCCAGCGGGTGAGGATATCTCGGGTGGCAGGTTTAAGCCAGCGGGTGAGGATATCTCGGGTGGCAGTTTTAAGCCAGCGGGTGAGGATATTCGGGTGGCAGTTTTAAGCCAGCGGGTGAGGATATTTCGGTGGAAGTTTTAAGCCAGCGGGTGAGGATATCTCGGGTGAGGATATTTTGGTGGCAGTTTTAAGCCAACGGGTGAGGATATTTCGGGTGGCAGTTTTAAGCCAGCGGGTGAGGATATTTCGCGTGGCAGTTTTAAGCCAGCGGGTGAGGATATCTCGGGTGGCAGTTTTAAGCCAGCGGGTGAGGATATTTCGGTGGCAGTTTTAAGCCAGCGGGTGAGGATATTTCGGTGGCAGTTTTAAGCCAGCGGGTGAGGATATCTCGGGTGGCAGTTTTAGGCCAGCGGGTGAGTATATCTCGGGTGAGGATATTTCGGTGGCAGTTTTAAGCCAGCGGGTGAGGATATTTCGGGTGGCAGTTTTAAGCCACGATGCACAAGTCCCAGGGCATGACAATTCCTTGTGTTGCTGCAAACTTGGGCGACACGGAAATGCATCTGGGCGGTACGTTTACCGTCTTGTCTCGGGTGCCTGCCTTGACTGGTCTTGCTTTGGAACGTGGCTTGAATTTCGACCGGTTGGCCAAGATCAACCAGAGCCGGTCTTTGTTGGCACGGAAAGAATACGAAGCTGCGAAATGGCCACCGCTCGAAGCCAATGCGCTTCGACATTTTCAGTCGGTCCTTGCAGAGCTGTTGCTGAAACGGGAGTCTCCCGAAGCAGCTGTGCTGGACACGATCGGCGGCTTGGCCGAAACAGCAGCTGAGCAATTGTCACTGCCTGACTTCACTGCGGAACTGTGAGCACTTTC